AGGGAGCTTCAGAGGATGAGTCTCACGTGACTCCTGGCCCCTCCTGTGCGGGTCCCTCCTTCCCCTCGCTCTGTCTCCCCCCAGCCCCTCTCGGGGCTGCGCAGGCCCAGGGGACTTTGCTAAAAGGTCATTCACACTTCACCGCCCCCAGGACCCGCCCTGGCTTTCCAGGGGCCTCCTGGCCTAGAGCATAACTTGCCATCCACCTGCTCCCTTTCACCTTGAAGAGCGCACCTGTGCGTGAAGGTGAGCGCCTGGGGGTGGGGGGGCTGGGGGCGGGGACAGGGGTCCTGGGATTGGTCACCCGAGGAAACCCCACCTCTCAGGCAGCAGATGCCTTAGGACTTGAGGGCAGGGGTGGGGCTGCAGGGGAGATACCCAGCTCCCCCTTTCCCTGCGCTGGGGTCCCGGACCCCCTCGGACGGACTCCCTCGGACCCTGACCCAGCCTGAACGCCCCGCCTCTGGCAGCACAGGCGGGAGGTGAAGTCCAAGGGCCGAGGCTGCATCTTCCCTGGGGCACCAGTCTCTCCTGTGGAGCATGAGCCCGCGGCCCGCACACCGACACCGACACCGGGTCTCTAAACGGAGGACCCCGCCAGGCTCTGCCCGCCACCAACAAACTGAAAGCCGGTTGGAAAAGACGGGGCGGCAGACACCCCCGAGAAACGCGGGTCAGGCCCGGCCTTGGCAGCTCCCACGGGTGACTGCGGAGGGGACACAGCAGAACACAGCGGGGCAGCCCTGGGAGCCAGCGCCGCCGGGGCGGGCCATGCAAGCTCGTGCAGGAAGGCTGGGCCCGGCCTGAGCAGAGATGTGAAGCCATTACGCTTTAGGTGTTTAAAGAAATAATTTGTTGTTGTTGTGAATCCTCACCTGAGGATATTTCTCCATTGATTTTTAGGGAGAGTGGACGAGAGAGGAGAGACACAGAAACATTGATGTGAGAGGCACACAACGTTGGTTGCCTCCTGCACAAGCCCTGACCAGGGCCTCGATAGGGGAAGAGCCTGCAACCGAGGTATGTGCCCTTGACTGGAATCGAACCTGAGACCCTTTGGTCCGCCGGCCAACGCTGTATCCACTGAGCCAAACTGGCTAGGCTAGGGCCTAACTCTTTTTAAAAAAAAAATGTCTTTCCTGATTTTTTTTTTTTTAGAGAGAGAGAGGGAGAGGGATAGAAACATCAATGAGAGAGAAATATCATCAATTGGCTGCCTCCTCACAGCTTTTACAGGGACTCAAGCCCACAACCCGGACATGTGCCCTGACCAGGAATCGAACCCGTGACCTCTTGGTTCCTGGGTCGATGCTCAAACATTGAGCTCCGCCGGTGAGGCCCAGCTCTCTTAATTTACGTTCCCTCCAAAAGCAGAGTCTATGACATGAGACATGGTCTTATGGGCAAACCGTTTACTTTTGGAAATGATGTCAGGGGTCAGGAATGGGGCCTTGGAAGAGAGAAACCGGTGACCTGCTGGGGCCAGAGGCGAGGCACTGGGGGTGCAGGTCTGAGCAGAGAGCTCACCCCGTGTTTGCGCGACGAGGGAGGGACTGGCTGCAGAGTCGGCCTGGCTCACCTGCTCAGCAGGGGGCAGAAACGAGGCCCCAGGACCCGCAGTCTAGTTACCGGCTGGCCTCCACCCCAACAGGTGCAGGGAGAGAGGAAGGCGAGGTGCTGCCCCCCCTCCTGCGGGCGGGGCGGCCCCTCCCTGCGTGGGGCTCTCCTGCCCGCAGATGCTGCCCCGCGCTGGCCCTGCACCGGGGGCACTGGCTCTGACAACGGGTCTGAAGAGCGTGATCTATTTTAGACCCGAGTTCTTTCGGGAGCCGCTGTTGAGAAGTCCCAGGACACACAAGGAAAACCCCTCAGATGAGAGGCAGTGGAGCCCAGCAGTGACAGCGCGTCCAGAAAACAGCAGGTCTGTGCTCAGGGCCCAGCGGTGGGAGAGAGCAGGGGGGTGGGGGCGGCAGGGGCCCCTCCCCTGGGCCCACGGGGCTTCCCCGAAGGAGGACAGAGACCACGAGCAGGCCCAGGGAGAGTGAGCGATGGGCCAGGCGGGTGGGGGTGGCGTCACAGGTGCTGGCCAGGCCTCCGCAGGGTCTCTGTGCTCCGGCTCCTCCAGGGCCA